CGACGCCCCTGCCAAGATGACCATCGACAGCAACAGCATCGTACGAGAGTAGTGGCTGAGAGTTTGTCTCAATTATCTATCGATGTTGTTGCTTGGCCTCTCGCTTTGATCTGTTCTCACAACTTTGACGTCGTTCTGAGTGCAGGGCACCAACGTGGGTGTTGGCATTGAAGCCGTACTCAAGGAGGGCAGCTCCATCACTCACAACTTTGTATATGGTACGCTCCCCCTCGCACTTGCCCTTTTTCCTCTTATCTCGTCAGCCTTGATCTTCCCCAGGAGGGGGTAGAATCAGAATGGACTGAACGTGTGCTCACGCACACCAACCACGCGGCACACATTGCAGGTAGCCAGGACTCCGGCATCATTCTGCGCAGCCCTGTGTCGGGTTGCCCCGCCAGGGTCCTGGTGGCGAGCAACCACATCGGAATGTCGCCCGTCCTGCTCGCCGACGGCAACAAGGGTCGGCGAACATCATCAACATTTCCTTTATTTTTTCTTTTCCGTCCGACTTTCTTTTCGCTGCTGGCGCTCTTTGGTTCAGCTCTTTGGTTCAGGTGAAGGGTGACTGACTTGTGCTTGGTGGAATAATGGGCCAACATCACAGGCCACGGCATCTTCAGTTCCGTGCCCGTGACTTTGTTCAACAACACCATCGGCGGTACCAGCCCCCCCCCACTACAAGATTATTCTGCCGCCCACAACGACTTCGAACTACTTGTCGACACAAAAAAAGTTCTAACGGCGGTGGTCCGTCACACACACACAGGGAGCGGCCGGTGGGGCATCATGCTGAGCAGGGAGCCCGACGCGTGTCCCACGACGTGCCACATCTACGGTTCGTACCCACCATGACCGACCTCGTCGACTCCCGCGCGACAACCGACGGGTTGGGGTGGCTGACTCTCGCACACGCGCAACACCCGCACACAGGCAACCAGGTGGGCGCTTCGCGTTCGCTGAACAAGTGGTGGTTGAAGAACATGGAGGGCGGCTTGCGCGCCCGCAACATGCGCATCGAGACCCAAGGTCCCCATGGCGAGCAGCAACGTACGTGTAACCCCCCGCGGGTCGAATGTGCTGAGTTGCCTCAGTCGTCTCACCGCACGACACACAACACACACGACACGTGAACGCACTCACGCACACG